GACAGACAAGTTTGTCTTGCTGTTGGAGACCTCTCGTATCACCCCCAACTGGGTCCCTGTGGCTGACTGTACCTCTGTCTGGCTTCCTGGCTTTTAATCCCCTTTCTCCTGCTCTCTGGCCTGCTGTTTTGGGCATCCCTGAGTTGTCCCTGGGCCGACTGCTCTTCTATCCGGGTTCCTGGCTTTTATCCCCTTTCTCCTGCTCTTCTGGCCTGCTACTCTGGGCGGGCCTGAGTTTCCTCTTCTCACCTAGTCCCTTTGGCTGATTGCTCTTCTCTCTGACTTCCTGGCTTTTAATCCCCTTTCTCCTGCTCTTCCCGCTTGCTACTTTGGGCGCCCCTGGGTTGTCTCTCCTCACCTGTAACCCTGGAACTGTTCATGTACACTTTAAATTGATTAATTTTATATTTTATGAGTTTTACCTCATTAAAAAAATCATCTTCCCCTGCCATGGCTCTGCCCAGGATCCTGTTTCCTTGCTTCGGCAGGGTCATCGGGTTTTGCTTCAAACATCTGTCATTCTCCTTCCTGTAGGCTGAGCAGCCTTTTCTCAAACCCCCTATTTATTCTTGGGCCTGATATCTGCTGTCAAGATTGTGACTGTTGCAGACTATGCAGTCCTGCTAAGGTTCTTTCTCCTCATTCTTAATTCCTAAATGTCCTATTGTGCTACCCCAAGACTTTGTTGCTGTTTTGGTTACCTAGTGCTGCTCTAACAGAAGATACCACAAATAGGATGGCTTTAACAAACAGGTGTTTATTCCTACAATTTGGAGGCTTTAAGTCCAAGTTCAAGGTACCAGGCTCTAGGGGCTGGGTGAAAGCCCCTCAACCTTGGGCTTCAGCTCTGCCTCTTGCTCCCAGCCCACTGAAGCTAGAGTCTTTTCTTCACTCAGACAGCTGCTGGCTGCTGAGGCTGACAAATCCAAGGTCAACAGATAACAAGGCACAATCCTGATATTACCAAACCACACAGCAGGCCATTAATTTAAGTCCATTAAAAGTCCCAAGATTGGCAGAGCATGGCAGGCTGCTGAACAACGACTCGGCTACATGCAGGGTTCAAGTGTGCCATAAGCTAGAGACCATTCCCAAAGCTGTTTCTTATATACAGAAAGCAGACCAGAGACTCAAAGGCAGCTACTCAGCTGCTCACAGTAGATTCCACCATGGAGTTGCCAGTCTCATCATGGGGAATAACTATCACCAACTGCCCAGCCACTCAACCAGGCCCAGCCAAGTTGACACACAACCTAACTACCACAGTTGCCCAATGTTTCATTGGGAAGTCCCCAACCCTGTCTCACAACTTATTACTCCCAGACAGGTACTCTGACCTTATGTGAGCCTCACTTGGTCTCTTACTCTCTGTAGGGGATCCCCTCATCACAGAGGGTCGGCTTATGAACAGCTGTATCCAAGCCAGGAGGAAATGCCAGGCCAACCCTGCATGCAATGCTGCCTACCACCACCACCTGGATTCCTGTACCTATAGTATAAAAACCTCATCAACCTCAAAGGAGCCTGCAGAGTGCCTGGAGGCTGCAAAGCAGCTCAGGAACAGCTCTCTGATGGGCTGTTCATGCCACCGGCGCATGAAGAACCAAGCTACCTGCCTGGACATCTATTGGACTATTCACACTGCCCGCAGCCTTGGTGAGGTCCCCATCCTAAAGTGGACTAAGCCGGGAAATGAGAAGATGGCTATTGGGGGCTGTTTATTAATCCTACAGAATATGGGCCATATGATAAATTTCAATAGGGATGATGATGAAACTATATCAGAGGTGGAGAGAGGACTTGGCAGTAGTCTTTTGGGTTCCCACAACATTGCTCTCTCTTCTCTCAACTTCCCCTGTTCTTACTTGGCAACATGTAGCTCCCTCTTGGCAGGATACTGAACCAAGCTGAGGCCCAGCCTGGGGAAGTACTGGATTATAACGGAAGGGTGTGGAGAGGAGGAGGTACGGAAAAAGATTGTAACCCATAAACAGGCTTCAAACACAATGTAATCCATAAATTCAGAGAGACTGGGAGGTAACAGTCTGGTCAACCTTTAACAAAAAGGATACTTTTTAACCAGGCGAGAGAGAAGGCACAGGAAGAGCCAAAGAGAGGAGCCTCTTCTGACTCTTAGACCCTTCTTTGTATTAGCTTTTACTAGACTATTCTGCACTAAGGAAACAGTGACTGGCAAAGGAAGTTTATTTCTTATTAATGTTCTGTGTTGACTATTTCATGTATGTCTTGATGCTGGGATTCAAGCTAAAGGTACAGCCTCATGTGGGATGTGCCCTTATCATGACAGAGGGAAACAGCAATGACAGAACCATGCAGTGGCTTTTAAAGCTTTTGCTCATATGTTGTGTATTTAACATATACACTAATTCCACTCACATTCCATTGACAAAAATGGGTAACACAACCAAGCCTGACATCCCTGGGGTAGTGAAGTATACTCCTCCTCAGGAAAATATTACAAATCACATGACAGTAAGTGAGGGTATATAATCTTACAAGGAAAGTAAAAATTGGGAATCTACCATAGTCCATCACGTGGTCAACATACTCACTTCCCTCCCTTCTACAAGTAAAATACACCCACCACACTTCCCAAGAAAGGTGCCCTAAAAGTTCTATACAAACATGACATCAGGCTCAAAGTGTAGGATATCTTGATAATCTCTGTATCTGATCCCGGTGTGGCTCCTCTTGATCAAGAAACCTACGAACCAAAAAAACAGGTTGTCTGCCTTCCATATGTTCTCAATATATAATAATGGAACAAGGAAAAAACAAAACAAAAAACCCAAACCCACTGCCATTGAGTCAATTCCAACTCATAGAGACCCTATAAGACAGAATAGAACAGCCCCACGGGGTTTCCAAGGCTGTAAATCTTTATAGAAGCATACTGCCTCATCTTTCTCCCAGAGTGGTTGGTGGTTTCAAACTGCTGACCTTTTAGTTAGCAGGTGATTGCCTTAACCACTGTACCACCAGAGCATCTTGGAATAGGGACAAGATAACCACAAATAACATTCCCAGTTAAAAAGAAGATGAATGGAAGGTACACAGCAGACGCTAGTTCATTGCACTTCTGAAATTCCACTAGACAAATGTTGCAAGGGCACTCATAGCGACCCCTCCTTGGGTTTCCAAGGTGGTATCACTACGGAAGTAGATTGCCCAGCCTTCCTTACGAGGAGTGGCTGGTGGGTATGAACTGCCAGCCTTCTGGTTAGCAGTCAAATGCTTTAGGCACTATGTCACCAGAGCTCCCAACTCTTCCATGAGAGTTTGAATTTTCCTTCATCAAGCCCTATTTCTATTCCATGGGAGTAATTCCTCTACCCATTGTTTTCTAGGACTCTGGGGAGCCCATGCCCTCTGGAGAGTCCTTCGTTTTCCATTATTCTCTTTGGCTGCATCTGAAGAGAGCATTGGAGACTACAACTTCCTTGGACTAAGCAAAAGTCTCAGCCTGCTTCCTGCCTGAGGAATGTTGAGGCATTTAAAGACTCAAATAATTACACTCCCTTTTAATCCAGGCCAATGGCTTGTTTAACAGTACCGTTGTTGTTGTTGTTGTTATGTGCCATCAAGTCGGACCCGACTCATAGCGACCCCTCCTTGGGTTTCCGAGGCAGTATCACTACGGAAGTAGATTGCCCAACCTTCCTTCTGAAGAGTGGCTGGTGGGTTTGAACCACCAGCCTTTTGGTTAGCAGTCAAGTGCATTAGGCACTATGCTACCAGAGCTCCCATTTGAAAGTACAGTTGTCTCAAAACATAGTTGCTTTTTATTTCTTTGACTTCTGTCACTTTGTGTGCCGATATCCTTTCTCACAAGTCTTTTCAAGACATGCATCTCTTTCTAGACCTACTTAGAAGCACCTTGCCCTTATTAGACTTCTTTGGGAGAGCCAGTATCTTTGATTTCTTTTTTTCCCCTTGAGTTCTTTGGTCCACCTGGCAGGATTTATTGGATACTATCTTAATCGATTGAGAAATTTCCAAAAAGGCATAATAGCCACACACTTGATTTAATCTTTGCCCCATAGCACACAAAGCATTTGTCAGTTTTATCTTTTACCATTTGAATATGGGAAATAGTTGCATCTCTCAATCCTGAAAGCCATGGGGTTTCTGGATTCTCTCTTTTCCCTTTCATCTGTACCTGTAAACTGGCTAGTTCTTTCCTGAGCATGTATCTTTCTTGTAGTACCTTGACAAATACAGCCAATAGCAATCAAGACATATTAGTAAACTTCTGATTTTCAGCTTCTGGTGGCACAGTGGATAAGGCACTTGGCTGCTAACCAGAAGGTCACTGATTCAAACTCACCGGCTGCTCTGTGGAAGGAAGACTGGGCAATCTACTTTCATAAAGATTTACAGCCTTGGAAACCCAATGGGGGTCGCTATGAGTCGGAAATGACTCGATGGCAGTGAGCTTGTTTTTTTGGTTCCCCTTAAGGCACAAGCTCATTCAGTACATCATCTTCCTTCCAAATTAGTGCAAGCAACACTTTACCAAATGCTTTGGTACTGCAGGCAGTTCTTGGATTATGAATGAATTCTGTTCCTAAATCTGACTTTATGTAGAATTTGTAAGTAAATTAGAACAGTTAAGTATGGTTCATATCTAAAGTCAGTCAAATGTTTGTATCAGTAAATAGTGTACCTTTCTATGCATAAAAAACATTAAAGAAACACTTTCAGTTACACTAAAATATCTTTAACATAATAATACAGTAATAATAATAATAATGTTTTCATGCGTGTCCCAAAGTTGTTGTTGTTGTTGTTGTTATGTGCCGTCGAGTTGGCCCCGACTCATAGTGACCCCTCCTTGGGTTTCTGAGGCAGTATCACTACGGAAGTAGGATTGCCCAACCTTCCTTCCGAGGAGTGGCTGGTGGGTTTGAACCGCCAGCCCTCTGGTTAGCAGTCAAGTGCTTTAGCCACTATGCTACCAGAGCTCCAAAGTAGTGCCCCTTTATTAATTATATACCTGCAGGAATATATCTAGTGGTTAGAAACAGTGACTCTACAATCAGTCCAGGTTTCAAATCCCAGCTATACTTCTCATTAGCTTATGTGAATCTGAGCAAGTAACTTAATCTCTCATCCTCAATTTTTTCATACTTACCCAAAGTTTCTAGGAGGATTATTAAATGAGATTTTATACACATTGTCATAGTTATCTAGTTCTTCTATAGCAGAAGTACCACAAGTGGGTAGCTTTAACAAACAGAAACTATTTTCTCACAGTTAGGAGGTTATAAGTTCGAATTCAGGATGCCAGCTCTAGGGGAAGACTTTCTCTCTCTGTTGGCTCTGGAGGAAGATCCTTGTCTCTTCTCAGCCTCTGCTCCCGGGCAGTCTTCATGTGTCTTGACATCTCTCTTTCCTCATCTCTGCTTTCCTTACTTGTTTATATCTTTTATGTCTCAAAAGAGATTGACTCAAGATACACCTTATACTAATCCTGCTTCATTAATGTACCAAAAGCTACACATTTAACAACTGAGATTATAACCATAGGTATAGAGTTTAGGATTTACAACACATAATTTTAGGGAACATAATCCATAACACACACACACACACACACATATATATATAATATGTGTATGTGTATATATATGAGATTTACTTATTTTATATATATATATATATATATATAAGGTATGTTAATTAATTTTATATATATACAGGTATACATCACTTAACATCCATGATACATTCTGTGAAATAGGATATTACGTGATTTGGATGTTGTGTGAACACCATGTTATATTACAGGCAGTCCCTATACAATGTGTAGTTAAATTCACATAAAGCTCGTTATAGTAAAACCTTATGGGAGCCTGCTGGACAAAGCCTGAGAGCTGTATCCAGTCAATAAAGGAGGCCAGCCTTGCAGGCTGGGCCAACAGGGGCTGCATCTGCAGCTGGATTCAGACTTTGCGCATATCTGGGGGTCAGGGGGTATAGAAAGGTGGCCATGGTAGTTGATAGGGACCATGTTGGGGTTGTTGGGAGCACGGCTAGATGTGATGGCCCTGGCTGCTGCTGCCTTGATGATGCCATCATTTCCTGATCCTGCAAACCAGAGCCTGTGAACACCCCAGGCCTGCCCAGGGTTGCCAGCATCTATAGCAGGAGCACAGGAGCCATGGTAGGTGCTGCCCTGTACTGGTAGTGAAAGGCTGCACAGCTTCTGGGAAAGCGAATGAAGCCAGGAAGAGGGGAAGGAGGAGGCAGAGAAGGAGGCACTTAGAGATTGGGATGGTCCCTGGAGCCCCACTGATCATTTATTCTGAAGGTTTGGGGTCTTTAAAACGATTAGGGGAAAATAATAAATAAAAAGAGTGCTGCTTTCCTTTTTTAAAAAAAAAAAAAAAATCCTTATGGGACCACAGACTTATAAGTGGTTGGATGTTGTCCCAATGAACATTAAGTGACATATCTATACGTGTGTGTGTGTAAATATATATATATGTATACCAAAACCAAACCCACCGCCATAGAGTGAATCCTGATTCATAGAGACCCCCATTGGGTTTCCAAGGCTGTAAATCTTTACAAAAGTGGAGTACCTCATCTTCCTCCTGAGGAGCAGCTGGTGGAGTGTAAACCACCGACCTTCTGGTTAGTAGCCAAATGCCTTATGTACTACTCCACCAGCTTATACCATAGTGCCAAGAACACAGTGTGTTCAGCAAATGGTAGCTTTTATTATTTTTATCATTAAACCTAGTTTACTCATCAAGCACAGTCCATGCCTTCAGGGCCCTGACTTTTTCTAATCTCTGCCCAGTTTACAGCTAGTTGGGTAGAGCCTGTGCTTTTTCTTTTCCTCCACAGGGCTTTGAGGTCTGGTCCAGCAGCCTCAGCCCCTCATTCTCCCACCCCCACTCTGATCCTCAGGATTCTGGTGCTCCCTCCACCTTGTCTCTAGGTGACTACGAGCTGGATGTCTCCCCCTATGAAGACACAGTGACCAGCAAACCCTGGAAAATGAATCTCAGCAAACTGAACATGCTCAAACCAGATGTGGAGGGCAAGCCCAGGCTGGGTAATGGGAAACTGGTCTTGGACCCCAAGGGAAGGATGTTGTGGGAAACATAAGCTGGAGAATTTGTGGGGGAACAATTCCTAGCCTGCCAGGTGACTAAAGAATCATCCTGTTAGTGTGGGAATCTGAGCTATGGGGCATGATCTGGTCCTACAAGAGCTATCAAAGAGCAACAGCTATTAGGGAGCATTTGAAGAGAGCCCATTAAGGCTCCTTGGTTCCAAAGGCTGATCTCTACAAAGGGTGTGGTGGGAGTGGCAGGATGGGCAGCAGTCTCAGAAAAAAGTACTGAAATGGAGAATTTACCATTTGAGGCAACCAAGAAAGTAGCTTTTTTCCCTAAAGGCTAAGAAATTGTTTGTTTTCAACCAATCTAATGAGATGGGTGAGGTGTTGGGCAGGGAAAATAGTGAGAGAGTATGTTACTCTACACAAGGGTGACTCAGGGTGGGGAGCCATCAGTCTGGCAAGGACTTTGATGCATGTTTTTCAAGAAAATGAGGCTGTTGAGTTAATTGGCAAGGAACACACACACACTCCCTCTCTCTTTTTGAGAAAGATTTGAGCTTTGCTGTCAATTCTATATGTTAGAATTAGAATTTTTTGGGAAAATAGAGATTTATGCACGACAAACTCTTAGTTATAAGGGATCAGTGAATATACTGTTCCAGTTACTTGATTGTTTTGGCTGCTGGAATATTCTGTTAATAAAATTACCACCACAATTCCCCAAGACTAAGATATGGTGAACTCCTGTGCATGAATCAATGAAAGATGGACAAATGACATTAAAACTGAACAGACTAGACAGATGCAAACAAAAACTAAACAGAACTTGGTTGCATCTGTTTTGGACAGTTCAGAAGGTTCTTTGGAATTTTGCAGGGCCTCTAGGTTATGATTTCCACCATTAGATCTTACTACATAAGACCAAGGAAAAGGTGGTGGTTATTTGAGTTTTCTGGCTGCTTGAATTCTAAATAAATATGTATAGGGATATATGTATACATATATCCATCCATATACATGTTGTTGTTGTTGTTATGTGCCATCGAGTTGACTCTGAGTCATAGCGACCCCTCTTGGGTTTCTGAGGCATTATCACTGCGGAAGTAGATTGCCCAACCTTCCTTCTGAGGAGTGGCTGGTGGGTTTGAACACCCAGCCTCCTGGTTAGCAGTAAGTGCCTTAGGCACTATGCTACCAGAGCTCCCTCCATATACATATATGTTGTTGTTGTTGTTGTTATGTGCCATCGAGTCGGACCCGACTCATAGTGACCCCTCCTTGGGTTTCCAAGGCAGTATCACTACAGAAGT